GGCGCATGGTTGGGGAGGTGACAGGCGCTCCCGCCCCGCGGTGGTTTAGGGCCTGGGCTCTGGAATCCGACGGACTTGGGACTTGGTTAGAATCCCGTGTTGGTAGTTAGCTGTGTGACTTTGGTCAAATGCCATCCTTTTGAGCCCCCGACGGCCTCCAGCCCCAGGGCTCGGCAAGGACTCCGTGAGCTGCTGCATGTGCGGCCTTCCGCGGCGCCCGGCACGTGGGCCATGCTCGGTATTGCCAGCCGGCGTGGATGTGGCTCTGGCTGAAGCTTGTCATCAGGGCATCTCATTGGCATGACTGGGGTGGCCCTGGCCACAGGGTGCACCCAAGACTCCAGAGCACAGCTGGGGGACTCTGCTCTCCGTGTCTCTGCTTCCAGATCTTTCTGAACGTCTCTTGCATCTTCTGTCTCTGCATCGTCTTGTCCCTCTCGGTCTCTCAGCGTCTTTCTCTTTTTCTTCCAACTTCTCTTGTCTCTGGGACTCTTTGTGGGTCTGCATCTTTATTTCATTCTGCGGAGCTCAGTCTTGGGATATGAAGTGTGGAGTCGTGCATGTTGTGTGGGGTTCGGATCGTCCTGGGCGTTCTTACGGGATTTGGGGAGAGGACTGCCAGAGTTTGAGAAAGACCCAGAGTTTGGGGAAATCTGGAAGGTTTGGGTTAGAGGTTGGAGCTGGGCACAGTGGTGCGCGCCTGTAGTCCCAGGTACTTGGGAGGCTGAGATAGGAGGATCGCTTGAGCCCAGGAATGTGAGTCCAGCCTGGGCAACATATTCCAGCCTGTCTCTAAAAAAATAAAATACTTTTTTAAAAATAGAAATCGGGAATTGGGGATGCAGGGTTGGGTCAGGCAGGGTCTGCAGTCAGGCCTGGGGGTCTGAAGTGAAGGATCAGTGAGGTCTGGGGTGGAAGCTGAGGTGTGCTCTGAGGTTGAGGCTGGGAGCAGTGCCTGGTATCCAGGCCGGAGTGTGGACAATGGCTGCAGGTTGGGGCTGAGGCTTGGGCTTGGGACTCGGGCTGGTGCTGAGCCCTGTGTCTCTACAGTCCGGTGGCTCGGACCAGGAACGCACCAAGAAGAAGCGCCGGGGGGACCGGTACTCTGTGCAGACGTCGCTGATCGTGGCTACGCTCAAGAAGATGCTGCCCATTGGCCTGAACATGTGTGCACCCACTGACCAGGACCTCATCATGCTGGCCAAGACCCGCTACGCCCTGGTGCCTGCACAGCCCATCCTGGGAACCTGCCAGGATCCCACCCAGAACCCCACTGAGCCCCCCAGGTCCCTGGGAGCCCTCCCTTAGGTCCCTGCCGAGCCTCCTCCAGGAGGAGGACTCGCCAAGCTCTCTGGGACGCCGTGAGCTCTCCCCCAGCCTGCTGAGGACGCCACTCAGGATGCCGCCAGGGCACACTGCAGCCTTAGGACCCTAACTGGGACCCCACTGAAACCCAGAAATGCCTCTAAGACCCCTGGGACCCTAATGAGCTCTGCAGACCCCCACTGAGCCTCCTAGGACCATACCAAGACTCTGAGACCCTGAGAATCCCCCCAACAAGGCACCATGAGCCCCCAAGACTCCCCAAAACCCTTGGGACCCACCGAGCCCTGCATGACCCCTGACCCTCCCCTGTACCCTCAGGACTGAACATCTGGGTTTCCACTGAGCCATCCAGGTCACCTCCCCTCTCCTTCAGGACCCAACTGAGCCCCCAAGGACTCCCCGTGAGCCCCTGTGACCCAAACAGTCCCCCAGGGTCCTAATAGCCCCTTCCCCAGGACCACACCCAAACCTCTGAGGGCTCAAGGATCTCGGGGACTGATTGGCCCTGCCCCAAGACCTCTTGAGCCCTCTGGAACCCCAAGGAGGCCTCCCAGGACCCCGCTTCCCTTTGTATGGGACAGCAAGGACAATCTCCCCCATCCTATTCAGCCTCAGGGACCCTAAGGAGCCCTCCCAGGATTCTGCCCCAAGACCCCTGTAGCCCTCCCCCAGGACCTTGTAGGCACCCTGACAACCCGCTAACACCCCTGGGGGCCTGAAGACCCCTGACTTCTCCCCTATGTCACAGGACCCCTCTCCTGGAACCCCAAAGGCCCCTTGTCTCAGGACCTCAAGCTCCTCCTAGGACCTGTTGAATCCTGCTGGGACCCCAAAGAGCCCCCCAGGGCCCTGCTGACCCTCACCCTGGTCCTTGAGGGCCCCCTCTCCTGGGACCCTAAGGAACTCACACCCTGCTGACTCTTACCCTTGGCCCCTGTGTAACCGGTGACTCGGTTGACCTGCCGGTTCTCCACGACCTCTGCTGACCTCGCTGACTCCCTTCATAACCCCTCTCCCCTTCTGTCTTCGAAAACTCCCTGCACCTCTCTGACCCTCCTCTGGCCCCAGTAGTCCCTCTTTGGCCTATTTGACCTTTGATGACACCCTCTTTTCACCCCCTACCTCCTCTCAGACCCCCATGAGGCCCCTGGAGTCATTACTGTCTCTTCAAGGTGCCTCTGTGGCCCTCTGGTCCCCTCTAGGACACCTCTCTGATCACTGTCTACCTTTGGGTTCTTTCGGTTTTTCTCACCACCCCCCCAAAAAAAGCCTCTCGCCAGGTTTTGGGGTGGCGGGCCTGGAAGGGAAAGGGTGTGGGCTAAGGAAGAGGCTGGGACCTTCAGGGTGACCCAGCCTGGCCATGTCTCCCCAGAAAGACACAGATGAGGAAGTGCGGGAATTTCTGCAAAACAACCTTCACCTTCAGGGAAAGGTACGCCTCCTGAACCTGCCACGGAAAGAGGTTATGTCGGGATGACAATCGCAATAATAGCTAATGTTCTAGCACTTACCATGCAGGCATTGAAGCAGGATCTTAGCATGCACTTACTGAATCCTCGCAATATTGAAATGGGGTGCGGGGACCCTCAGAGAAGCCCTCCCTCCTTCTTCCCTCAGGTGGAAGGCTCCCCATCTCTGCGCTGGCAGATGGCCCTGTACCGGGGCGTCCCTGGCCGCGAGGAGGACGCTGACGACCCCGAGAAAATCGTGCGCAGGGTCCAGGAAGTGTCTGCCGTGCTCTACCATCTGGACCAGGTGCTGCGGCTTCTGACTGCTGAGTGGCCAAAGCTGGGTCTCTGGGCGGGGCCTGGGGCTGACCTTGAGCCTGTGGGTGTGGCCTGGTGATGAATATTAAGTATGGGGCGGGGTAGGAGGTGGAGCTTTGAGTTTAAGGTGAGGTTTAGAATGGAACCTTGGATCTGTGGGAGAGACCTGCTTAATCTGGCATCTGGGGACGGGACCAGGAGGCAGGACTTTGGGTCTGGGGGTGGGGCTTAATGGAGATACCATGAATTTGTGGGCAGAGCCTTGGGTGAGCCTTGGAATTGGGGCAGGACCTAGCTACTGGCCCTGGGACTGTGGACGGTGCCTAGGATGGAAATTTAGGTCGGGAGGCAGAGCCAGAACGTTGACTTGGTGGAGCCAAGATGTTCCTTCTGCCTGTGAATCGGCCCTGAATATGGACGTGGGCACAGATGGGCAGTTTCACCCAGGACTGGGAGTGGGAATCGGGCCAGAGACAGGGTCTGGAGACATGACAGACTGTCCCATCCCCCAGACCGAGCACCCTTACAAGTCCAAGAAGGCCGTGTGGCACAAGCTTTTGTCCAAGCAGCGCCGGCGGGCAGTCGTGGCCTGTTTCCGGATGACGCCCCTGTACAACCTGCCCACGTAAGGCCTCCAGGGAGGAGGGGAGCTCGACGGGCCCTGGAGGAAGGTGGCTGGGGAGTCCAGAGGATGGAGTGCCAACACCCTGGGATTTTGGGGGTGGTTGGCCGGCAGATGCATGAGAGGTTGGGGGACGTGGAGGAGGAGACATCTCAGTGACCCCCAGCCCTTTCCCTGCAGGCACCGGGCATGCAACATGCTCCTGGAGAGCTACAAGGCCTCATGGATCATGACTGAAGACCACAGTTTTGAGGACCGCATGATAGATGACCTTTCAGTGAGTGCCACCCGCCTGGGGATGTGGGGGCAGGGCTGGATACGGCTGGAAGCTGAGGCCACCCTCTGTATACCTCCAAGGCTTGCCCTCCACCTCGAGGGGCATAGAAATGACAGCCCTTAGCCAAGCACAGTGGCTTGCACCTGGAATCCCAGATACTGCAGAGGCTGAGACAGGAGAATCACTTGAGCCGAGGAGTTCAAGACCAGCCTGGGCAACATAGTGAGACCTTGTCTCAAAAAAAAAGAAAAGAAAAAGAAATGGCAGAGCCTGGCTTGGATAGAACCAAAGTAGGGTGCAGGATGTAGGAAAAGAGAAAAAAATCCGGGCCAGCAGGGCTATGGGAGGAGATAGGAGGGAACTCTAGAAACCCCTCCCCCCTATGCTCCCTCCCCCCAGAAAGCTGGGGAGCAGGAAGAAGAGGAAGAAGAAGTGGAGGAGAAGAAGCCAGACCCCCTGCACCAGCTGGTCCTGCACTTCAGCCGCACTGCCCTGACCGAAAAGAGGTGAGGACCCTTCCCAGGGCCTCAGAAATGCCCCCAAGGTCCTTGGAAAGAGACACAATGCCCCCCCCCATCCAACAATCTCCCTGTGCCTACAGAAAGGCCTTCTGGGTCCTGGGGGAGCCCCACAGCTGATCTTTAAACGTCACTTTACTAGAACAGGCGAGCCTACCACGTATGCCGTGTAGCCGCACACTTACAAGGGCATCTCATCTGAGGGTTCACGTCACCGGCGATGTAGATTTACTGGGCTTTTCCAGGAGAAAGCATCTCGCTCAAACAAAATCAGTACATTATGAAAAAATTTCTACATATGACAAATTTCCAACAGATGGAAGTGATGGCGTTTTTTCTAATCACTTCTAATGGCAGGCTTAGTAATAAATAAGTATAATAAGGAGGTCCCAGCTGCTGCTGCTACCGCCGATGATCACAGGCAGCATTTATCAAGTGCTTGGTATGTGTCAGGCGCCATGCTAAGCACTCGACACATATGTTCTCTCACTTAATCTTCATACTACGAGATAGATCCTGTTTCAACTGCTTTTTGCAGACGAGGATATGGAGGCGCAAGGATTTATTTTTCTCACATAACGTGAAATCAGGAGCTTGTAGAGTCCAGGGCTGGGCTGTGGCACAGTGACATTCACTGGCAGGGACCCAGGCTCTTTCTAGCTTTCTGCTCTGCCCTTCTTGGCATTTGTGCTGTGCTCACGAGATGGATAGTGCACTGGCGGGCATCACGACCACATGCCAGGCAGAAAGAAGGAGAAAAGCTCCCCCCACCCCGCCCCCTTTAAGACCTTTGGTCTTTTTATCTAGGAAGGGAAGCTCTCTGCTGTGGAATTCCACACATACCTCGTTGGCCAGAATTTGGAGCAATGGCTCTGGAGTTAGACTCTCCGAGTTGAGTCCCAGAGCAAACTGTGTGACCTTGGCCAGGAAGAATCTTTGTGTCTTAGTTCCCTCGTCTGTAAAATAAAGTTTGTAATGTACCCACCCAATAGGATTACTGTTGAATTAATTTGTTAATATATATAAAGCACTTAGAACAGGGTCTAACATAGTGTTAATGTAAACAGTAAGTGTTGGCCATGATAGAGGGGACCCAAAAGGTTGGCCATCATTGTTAAGGGAGGCAACAGGTGGCCCAGGGAGCTCCAGCCTTCCATTGCTCGATTTTAGCATCCTGGGGGTGGGAAAGGGAGCACCTCTACCAGTAGCTCCAGCAAAACTCCCAGGGTGAATTCCAGACCACATGACCATCTCTTACCTACTATTGTGGCCAAGCAGAAAGTACTCATTGGCTCTGTCTTCGTCACGTGCCACCCTGAACCACACAGCCTGAGTGTGGGGAGGGTTGGCTGTCCGAAGGAGACTGGGGGCTATTAAAAGATGGAGTCCTCTCCGCTGGGCGCTGACTCTCCCTGCTTGCTTCCTCAGCAAACTGGACGAGGATTACCTGTATATCGCCTACGCCGACATCATGGCAAAGGTGAGGCCCTGCCCCACCTGGGGCGGGTTTCCTTCTCCCCAGTGGCAGTGCCTGTCCACTCTAAGGGCTGGGACAGCACCGGGGCATCTCCTTTGTTCACATCATCCCTTAACCGATGCCTCGTCCCCAGAGCTGCCACCTGGAGGAGGGAGAGGAGAATGGCAGCGGCGGTGAAGATGAAGAAGAAGAGGAGGTGGAGGTTTCCTTTGAGGTAAGTGGGACCAGGAGATCCTGCAGGGATGAGGGACCCTGACTTCAGTCATCTCCCATTCATTCAGCAATGCTCTGGGGACACAGTAGTGACCAAGTCTGTCCACTGGGGAGACAGACATCAGCCAAAGAGTGACAGCACAGAGTCTTCACCCAGCCTAGGCGAGGTGCCTTACTCAGCTGGAGGAAAAGGGTATCAGGAGGGCTTCTCAGAGGAGGGGGTATCTGAGGCAGAAGGATAAAAGGCGTGTGCCACGTGGAGAAAAAGACAAAGGGGTTCCAGGTAGAGGGAACAGCGTATGCAAAGGCCAGGCAGCGAGGAGGCTAGTAAACATGCAGTTGACCAATCCATTCTTTCATTAAGGCAGTCAGCAAGCATTTCCTTGAGAGTCTTTTAACCTTTTTCTTCTGGTGTCCTTTCTGGCATCTGGTGAAGCCTTTCTCAGAATCATGTCTTTAGACTGGGCTCGGTCACTTTTGCTTGTAATCCCAGCTACTGGGGAGACTGAGGCAGGAGGATCGCTTGAGGCCATGAGTCTGAGACCAGCCTGGGCAACATATGGAGACCCTGTCTCTAAAAAAATAAAAATAAAGACAATTATGTTTTTAAATGTATACGATGAATTCATAGCAGAGGAAACAAGTATGAAATGACTATCAAAATATTTAGAAAACAAATTTGTGATACAGTAATATATGTACTTCTTTATTAATCTATCAGCTAACAAGATCTAGCAGTGGGTCCAATAACTACTATGTAATTGAGAAGTAGTGATGAACACAAGTGATATTTCAAGATGTCTGTAGCAACAATAGTGTGATATGGAAACATCTGTGATTTTTACTGGTGACAAAAACCACAGGTTCTGCTAACGTTCCTGTGATTTATGGCCTCATCCCTAATGGAAGCAAGTGCCACACTTCTGTTACAGGGTGGTAAACACAAAAACGTTACTTTTTTCATCATCCAAGTTCACAGACAGCCTAGACTCTGTCCACTGACCCCCTGGAGGCCTGTGAGCCTAGGTTAAGACGTTTCCACGTCCAGCCCTGATTTGTGTAGACCTGGCTCCATGCCTAGCCCTGTGCTAGGTACAGGGGACAAACCCAGGACGCGAGTCCCAGGGGACGGGGGAGCTCACGGTGGAAGGAGTGAGTCGTGGATGTGGCTGGAGCAGGGAGGGCGGCGGTGAAGGCCAGGGCTGCGAGGGGAAAGGCTGGGCTGGTGAGCCCGGACTCACTCGCCCCCACGGGTCCGCCTCTCTGCCCCAGGAGAAAGAGATGGAGAAGCAGAGGCTCCTGTACCAGCAGGCGCGGCTGCACAACCGGGGGGCCGCCGAGATGGTGCTGCAGATGATCAGCGCCTGCAAAGGTGCCCCTCGCACGTGCATTCGGCTCCTCTGAGCGCACCCATCTTGTCCCCACCCTCCCCGGCCCACCCATTCCCTGGGGCCCCACTTGCCACTGCTCCAAGCCTGTGATGCGCACTCACACCCCAGCCCTTGCGAGTTCCGCTTGCAGTTTCTCACGCACCCCTCAATCACGATCGGCCCCGTACGCGCACCTTTGCACTCTTCCATTCCCTTCTCTCACATCCCCCGGGATGGCTCTTCTCTGGTGGGTGGAACACGCTGCCCCCAAACTGGGCGGACCATCTTTTGTCCCCCTCCCCCCTGCCAGGAGAGACGGGCGCCATGGTGTCCTCCACCCTGAAGCTGGGCATCTCCATTCTCAACGGTGGCAATGCTGAGGTGCAGCAGGTAACAGAGGTGAAGGGACCTGGGGGGAGGGCAAAGAGGGGTGGGAGGTTCCTGTGTGACTCCCAGTTCCCCCTCCCCTGCCGGCCCCTCTGCAGAAAATGCTGGATTATCTGAAGGACAAGAAGGAAGTTGGCTTCTTCCAGAGTATCCAGGCACTCATGCAAACGTGCAGGTAGGTTCTAGTGACATCTTGCAGTTCAGCCCTATTTGGTATGGCTGTGCCCCCACGCCTGGTACCACTTCTGGTTCTAGTTCTGCTCTCTGGGTCCAGGAAGAGAGACCCACTCAGGGTAGCTCAAATAACACAGAGTTTATTATAAGAATTAATGTAGAACAACAGGGAAGCAAAATGTCTCAGGCTTTGAGGATGAAATGTATTTGGATTCCAGACAGTGGAAACAGAAGGTTATTGAGAATTCTAGGGAAGCAGCAGCGGGGAATTTGGGCTATCTCTGAAAACCTGATAACCCTTATTAACACGGCTCTGCTATTGCCTGCCTTGTCTGCCTCTTGCTGTCAACAGACTTTTTCGACTCCTCTGTAGCTTTTGCTAATTGATAGTTTTCCTCGTTATTTCAGCTTGTACATGGTTCATCCTGGACCTATCTTACTTCATAGCTGCCACCTCGTAGCTTCTGCCACCTCCTCCTTTCTGCTTCCTCTTGGTTTCAGCTTAGGCGTGGGCGACTGTGGCTCTCCAGCCTGCCACTCCCTGGAAGGGAGGAGGGCAGAGTCCTCATCCCACCCTCCCTCTCTCCCTCCTTTCCCTCAGCGTCCTGGATCTCAACGCCTTCGAGAGACAGAACAAGGCAGAGGGGCTGGGCATGGTCAATGAGGATGGAAGTGGTGAGGCCCTTTCTTGGGCTTCCCTCTCCCTGGGACATCATCTTCCTTCAGGATTCCCACCCTCCCAACAACCCCTGCCCCACCATTGCCCAGAGCTCCCCTCCTCCAAGACACCCCATTCCCAATAGTTCCCTGAGGCTCCTCCCCCTGCTGTGGCCCCCAGTACCGCCCCCCAAATCCTCCTGGGTCACCCCCCTCCCATGGTCCCCCTGCCCCGGGAATCATTCTGTCCCATGTTCTCTCCCCATCACCACATGGACCCCGCCCTCCACGTGCCCCAAGTCTCACGCCCTGGATGCCGTTCTCTTATTAATGTCTCTAATCCGGGTTAATCGCGTCTCCTCTTTGCCGTGTCGTGACGTGTCTAACCTATCTACCCCAATCCTCACCTCCTGCCTCTCCGCCTCTGCCTTTCCACGTCTCTCTCTCTGCCCTCTTGTTTCATTCCCTCTGCCTTCACCCTCATTCCCCACCGTCTTCCCTGCTAATCCACTTCCTCCTGTCTCCTCAATCTGCCTTTCTCTCTGTGGGTCGTTTCTCTCCACATCTGTGTCTTTGTCCCCGAATGCGTCGCTGTGCGTGTTTGCTGTCTCTCCGTCGCCTTCTGTCTCTCTTTTTCTCTCTTTTCTCCTGCTTCCTCCTCCCATCCTGTTGGCTGCCCCAGTCATCAATCGCCAGAACGGTAATTCCTCAGCCCCGCTCCTTGCCTTGCTGCTGCCGCGCCCCTCCTAACCCCAGCCACCCCTCCACCTGCGGGCTGAGGATCTGGGACCTGCAGGGGAGGGAGGGACCCTTCGCGAGTGAACAACGGTGCGAAGTCTTGAGATCAGGAGTCCAGGCCCAGGATTCAGATCCCAGATTAGCCATTGACAACACGTGGGACTGTGAACAATTCTCTTACCTTCCCTGGGCCTCAGTTTCCCCGTGTGTAACATAGAAGCTAGAGAAGATGGCAAAGATCTCTTTCCAGCTGGATACTCTTGGAATTCCAGACCCAGATTCGCAGTCGGGGTGTGGGGTGACCCCCATTCCCACCTCCTCTGCTCTCTGCGCCTGACCCCAGATTGGTCAGCCAGTGATTCCCATCCACCAACCGGATTGGTTGCCTCCAGCATCCACTCTGATTGGTGTGCGTGCCTCCTTCGCGCCTGTTCTGGTTGGCCCATTCGACGTCTAGCCCCCCCCCCCCAGCTCTAGCGCACCATGATTGGCTTCTTTCAGATGCCCATTCTGATTGGCCCGTGTTTATACGCCTCCCTTCCGCTTCTCCTGGATTGGCTGCTTTCAAGGCATCTGGGCCAATTGGCCAGCTTTCAGTCCCCAGCTCTCACCCCAGCCCAACATCCCCCTGCTCAGAGCCTTGGTGTGAAAGTGACCCCAATCCCCATAACCCATTAACCCCCACAGCCTGGAGGGGGGCTGAGGGCGATACCAGCTGCCTGAACGTCTGCTGGGTTGGCAGACACTCCCTGATGTCGCCCAAGTGGTGACATCAGAGAGGTACTGATGTTGTATAAAGACACTTGGGGCTCCGGCTTCATGACTCAGGGCCCCTCAGGTCTCCATCTGCTGATGTCCTGGACTCTGAGGTCGGTGGCCCCGGGTGTCATGGATGTCAGTGGCCCTCATAGTGTCTTCGAAGTGGTGGCTGTTCCTCCCAGCACCCCCGTGCTTTGGACATGTGTGTGCAGTGTGCATGGGCCGTGTGCATGCATGTGCTGTGTCTTGGCGCGTCTGACGCCTCCTGGGCCCTGCCCCCTCCATTCCACCCAGGAGAGAAGGTCATGGCAGATGATGAATTCACACAAGACCTGTTCCGATTCCTGCAATTGCTCTGCGAGGGCCACAATAATGGTGAGGAGGAGGGGTTGGGGGTGGAGAGGAGGCCAAGGTTTGGGGTCAGTCTGGAAGGGTTGCCTGAGTTAGTCTCTAATGCTCCTTCTCCCCTTATTCACTGATGGCCTCACCAGCCACCCAGGCCTTGTCCTTGACTCTGCTGTCCTTCATCCTTTACTTCCAGCCAGCGTCTGCACATCTATCTTCCAAAATCTCCCTGGAATTTCTGGAATCTAGCCACTTTGCTTCACTTTCACCTCCTCTGGCCAGTCCAGTTTCCCAAAAGCAATCTGCCAACAACCAATTTGGCCAAAAATCAGTTTGCCCAAATGGGCAATTTGTTACACACCATTTTCCCACCGGCATTTTGCAGCAGCTGCCAAATTTCAGTACATGTGGCAGATTTCCGTACTTTGGATCTGTAGAGGAAAAAAATTGCCTGTCGTTTTTACATGAATCAATTAGAATCACTTACTTATTTTGCTTATAAAATACTTTGCCAGGAGGAAGGCCTACAGATTCTTTCCTAACTTAAGCAAGAGTTTTCCTAACTTAAGCAAGAGTTTTCACAACTTTTGTTCTAGTTCAGCCAATTTAACAAGATTGAGGATGACACAGCAAATTAGTTAACCAGATCACTGATGAGAAAATACAGCCTTGTGTGGCACACATAGTTTGCAACATTAAAGGAACAGTCAAAATTCTGTACAGCAAACATTCTACCCAATGCCATTTCCTATAACAAACATGTACAGTCTCAAGGTTGTGGTTATAACCCTTAGCAGATGATTATGAAACCACAGACTACCTGGAAATTAACTTTTGTGACAAGAATCAGAGTAATTAGAACTCTAACTTCCGTAACCTTCACCCTACTTGGCTGGTGCTGTTTAAGGTACCTGATTTGTAAATATCTTTCATCTTCACTCTTTCCTTTTCAACAAAGGATAAAGCATGATCTATCGCTTGGCATTCTCAAAAACTCTTATGTCCACAGCTAGTTTTCCCTCAAGATTTATTAAATACCTTTGTGCCATGTGGCTAAGATTTTTTTTTCCCCCAAGACAGAGTCTCGCTCTGTCACCCAGGCTAGAGTGCTTTGGCGTCAGCCTAGCTAAAAGCAACATCAAACTCCTGGGCTCAAGCAATCCTCCTGCCTCAGCCTCCTGAGTAGCTGGGACTACAGGTGTGTGCCATGATGCCCAGCTAATTTTTCTGTTTTTAGTAGAGATGGGATCTCACTCTTGCTCAGGCTGGTTTCAAACTCCTGACCTCAAGAGATCCTCCCACTTTGGCCTCTCAGAGTGCTAGGATTACAGGCATGAGCCACCACGCCTGGGCTCTGACTAAGATTTTCATTCTTTAATTTGAACTAAGGAGGAATCAGTCATTGGGTTTAAAATGAATTTTATTCCCTAGACCTATGACTTTATAAAAATGAGAATGTTCTTATAGGTGGGATTTCTGTCTCCCAATAAATTTGCAAACCAGTCCTCTGCCTAAATTGATGCATTCGTTAACTGGCCCAATCAAATACATATTTGAAATACTTTTCAAATCTTTGAAGGCTTGCATGTCTTGAGTATTCAATGCTATTTAAAGCAGAGAAAAGGTTTGTCTCCTGTGTATTTGCACAGGTCTATGAAAGTGTTCACAGTTGGAAGAATTCTTTACAGGAGAATTAACCATTTAAGCATATAGTCCAATTTAACACAAATAAAGGAATTAGAAATTATTGATGGGAAAGCCTGTACATTTACTTATAAAATCTTGAATATTCGAGCATATTCTTTGTCTATATCATGATACCAGGAAAATGGGCATTTTGTTGAGCCAGCCTGATACAGCGATTGTGAAGTGACTGCAGGAAAGTCAGGAAAGTAAAACTTTTGGGGGAAAAAACTTTCAAGGGCTATTAAAATCATCCCATGCAGCCAGGCACGGTGGCTCATGCCTATAATCCTAGTACTCCGGGAGCCGGAGGCGGGAGGATCTCTTGAGGTCAGGAGTTTGACACCAGCCTCAGCAAGAGTGAGACCCTGCCAGGCCGGGCGTGGTGGCCTGTGCCTGTAGTCCCAGCTACTGGGGAGACTGAGGCAGGAGGATCCCTTGAGCCAAGGAATTTGAGGTTGCTGTGAGCTAGGCTATTTTCTATTTTTCTATTTTCTAAAAATAGAGAAAAATTAGCTGGGTGTGGTGGTGTGAGCCTGTAGTCCCAGCCACCCAGGAGTTTGAGGTCTCAGTGAAGCTAAGATTATGCCACTGCACTCCAGCCTGAGTGACAAAGCAAGACCCTGTCTCTAAAAGCAAAACAAAAGAAAATGTTTGTTGGAAAAAAATGGATGAATAAATGATCCTCTACTAAATCTGGCATGTAGTAGGCCCTCAATGGTAATATTTTTAGATAATGAGTAAATGATCATATAAACTTGATAAATAGTTATTAAATAAATTAATGATTACATGCCTTCTGGCATACACTAGATACCCAGTAAATACGTATTTCATAAATGAATAAATGACCCACTGTCCATCTCCTTTAGCATATGGTAGATGCTCAATGAATGAATAACTTTTCATTTCCCTAGATTTCCAAAACTACCTACGGACACAGACAGGGAACACAACCACTATTAACATCATCATCTGCACGGTGGACTACCTCCTGCGGCTGCAGGTGAGCGTATGAGACCGTTCAGGTGCATCCTGGGTCGGCGACTTTGGAACCACCCCCTCACACCCTGCCCACCCCCCAGGAATCCATCAGCGACTTCTACTGGTACTACTCGGGCAAGGATGTCATTGAAGAGCAGGGCAAGAGGAACTTCTCCAAAGCCATGTCAGTGGCTAAGCAGGTGTTCAACAGTCTCACCGAGTACATCCAGGTAGGGCCCACCCTCTAGGGCAGGGCAGTCCTGCATCCGGCGCCGAGCCTGGCGCTCACGCAGCCCTCGGTCCCCCAGGGCCCCTGCACCGGGAACCAGCAGAGCTTGGCGCACAGCCGCCTCTGGGACGCGGTGGTGGGATTCCTGCACGTGTTCGCCCACATGATGATGAAGCTCGCTCAGGTTCGAGCCCTTGTGTTCCTCCTCCACCTGCTTCTGGGCATCCCTCAAGTGGCCCATTTCCAAGTCTTGGCCCCTTGGTCAGTTTGTCACCCAAGTGCTCCCGGCATGTTTCAGAATGGTCCCCTACCCACGGCCAAATCTATCTTCCTTCTGGGTTAGCTCTCCGCATGACCGCGCCTCCTCCTCTGCCTCCACCAATCGGCTGGTTTCCCATCTACACGCCCATTGGTCTGATGTGTCGGCCCCACCCCTATGGCTAAAGCTCTTCTATGATTGGTTGGTGTTTTTCTGTCCGATGAGGTCATCTCAGATACTGACAGCCCTTGGGGTGGAGTAGGGGCAGGCCTCTAGATTAGGGCCTGGGGCTGAGGAAGTGTTTTGCTTCTTTATCTTGCCTGCGGCAGAGGACACCCATCCCAGACACCCATGATGTAAGGTCCCTGTCGAACCCCATCGCCCATCTCCAGAATCCTCGTGTTCCTCTTTACCCCAACCCTTTGCAGCCTTGTCAATGTCTCACAAACACTTAATCCATTGGCTTTGCTTCCATCTGGTAAACGTATGTAAAGCTGCCAAATACTGTTGGGCAGGTTGTGCACTTCACAAGGACACAACCTCTGAGCGGGTCCACATCACAGGCATCATAAACATATTGGCGTATTTATTACAATAGCTTTCCAGCAGGTGGCAGTAAAGGGTGCTGTATAATTTCCCAACTAGGAAGTGTTTTAAGGAAGCCTTTTTCTAATTTACCCGAAGGTGCCACAGAGGCTGGCAGAAACCCTGACTGGTGTCATCTGATTTTTCGAAAGGAGTTAAATTTAGAATGCAGTTCCTCAGTGTCAGAGCAGCTGAAGTTGCACTGCTGGTGTAATGTTAAAATTCTGGAGAATGTTGATATCGTAAGCATAGACTTCCAAATCCTGCAGTGTTCATTCATCAGCCACCATCCAGGTCTAGGTTGCAAAGGCTAAAAATCCAATGCAAAGTCGTGACTTAAGGAAAAACAATAATTTTAGAGTGGTGTCAGCAGAAATGTCTTCTCTTTGACTTCCTTCTCAAGCAGGCTGTCCCCATGGGCTGCAAAATGGTGCCTCAGGTTTCCCATCCCCGCCCCCCAACAGCTCCAGAGGGAAGAGAGCTCCTCTTTCCTGGGAGCTCCAAGGAAAGATCTGGGAGTCTGTCTCACTGGACTGTTGGGTCACATGCCTATGCCTAAACCAGTCACCATAACCTTGGGAAAGAAAGCTCTGATTGGCCAGACCTGGTCATACACCTACCTATAGAACCAGGAGGTAGGGTTAGCCCCATGTGCTGAGAGAAGGACTGGGGGCACCCCCAGATGAAAGTTGAGGTATTGTTAAGATAAAAGGGGGACTGAATCATGGGCAGACACAAACCACAGGAATCCACCCATCTTAGGATCTTGAGATCCTGGAACGTTGGACCCTTAGACCCAGAATACAAAGCTTTGGAACTTTGGAAGTGTGTTGGGACTGGAACCAGCAACTCCTAGAACTAGCACTGCGGTAGAAGGAGCCTTATGTTGCATTTGCCTGGTATCCTCCCTGCCCTCTCCATTTTATTAGTGGAACCATATGAAGTTACGGTCACGTATTGGCAATTTTATGTGACTCAACCTAATACAAATAGGGACCATGAGGCAGAACTTTGCTTGGAGGTTTCTGTGGGCCCTACACAAGGCACTTGTGGCAGGGGAGGCAACATACCCCCACAATCTCCCCAGAAAGCACACAGCTGTCTCCCCCAGCCTTCCTCCTGAACCCAGAGTCCCGCTGTTGCCATCACACATTCTATTTAACATACATGCGTCAAGCATCCGCCGTAGGTCCGACACAGGGCTGGGCTCTCATCCCTTCCCAGATCTGGGTCTCTGTCCCCACTATTTGTCTCTGTCTGTCTCTGCCCCAAATGCCTGCCCTCCAAGCCTCCCAGTGCTCCTGGTCTGCCAGCCCCTTCCCTTTACACACCACCTGTCGGACCCTTCCCCTAAGTGCCAGCCCACCCCCACAATCTTGTCTCTCTGCCCCCTCCCCTGCTTCCGAGGAACATGTCTGGACTCGGGTTCCCTCGGAGGTAAGAGGGGAGAGAAAGGGGGTCTGAGGCCCTGCTGGGAAGGTGAGGAGGTGTCTCTGCAGAGACCAGCCCTCACACAGCTGGGATGCGGGGTCTCTAGGACTCAAGCCAGATTGAGCTGTTGAAGGAGCTGCTGGATCTGCAGAAGGACATGGTGGTGATGTTGCTGTCGCTGCTAGAAGGTAAACACCCAGGGGCTCGGGATGGGGGTCAGTACAAAGGTTCAGACCAGCCAGAGAAAGGCCCTCTGGGACCCAGGAGGCCTTGCACTAACAAGCTCAGCAAACACTGAGCACTAACTCTGTGCCAGATCCTGATGGTACATAATTAATTTATTGACTCCCCAGGGAAATCTTAATAAAATGGGTGGCCCAGACATTTTTATTTGTGTCCTTAATATTTATTTTTTTACTAAATATATTAGTTAGCTTTTTTTTTTTTTTTTTTGAGACAGAGTCTCACTCTGTTGCCCGGGCTAGAGTGCCGTGGCGTCAGCCTAGCTCACAGCAACCTCAAACTCCTGGGCTCAAGTGATCCTTCTGTCTCAGCCTCCCAAGTAGCTGGGACTACAGACGTGCACCACCATGCCTGCCTAATTTTTTCTATTTTTAGTAGTTCGCGGCTAATTATTTCTATTTTTAGTAGAGAAAGGAGCTCAGGCTGGTCTCGAACTCCTGACCTCGAGCGATCCTCCCACCTCGGCCTCTCAGAGTGCTAGGATTACAGGCGTGAGCCATCACGCCTGGCCATCAGTTAGCTTTTGCTGCATAACAAATATCCCCCAAACTTAGTGACTTTAAAACCATAATTTATTAATGAAAACAATTTAACCAATAAAGACTTTTTCTATAGAGATTCTTTATAGAGGTTCATGAAGAGTATCCTCATTCTTTTATATGGCTGGGTGGGGCTGCATTGTGTGGGTGTACAGTGATCCATTTAACCAACCCCTACTGGTGGACATTCAAGTGTTCTTTTTAAATACTTTGCCATTACAAACAATGTTGCAATATATAATCCTCCTACAGTGTTTTACTTTTTTGGGTAACTAGTCATTAGCTTTTAAAAATCAGAAGGTTCACCGTAAACATCAAGATGTCCAGCTTTTCCTGAAAAACGGAAAGCTTCTGTGGCCCTGAGTCCACATCCTCACGTGGCAAAAATCAGCCGGACTGGATTAAATAACTGAATCGTATTGACGTTAAATCTCTAGATTTTGATGACTGTACCGTGATTATACTGGAGAATGTCCTTGTCTTTTATGACATACACTGACATGTTTGGGGGTAAAGGGGCCCCATGTCTGCAACTTACCCTCAAATGGTTCAGAAAAAAAAATACCCATACAGAAAGCGAATTATAAAACAAATGTAGCAAAATATATATGATCAGTGAATCTGGAATAGATGAGGGTCCCTTATGCTATTCTTGCAACTTTTATGTAAATTTGAAATTATATTAAAGTTTAATATAATTTCGTGAGTGCAGTAGCTCATGCATGTAATCCCAGCACTTTGGGAGGTTGAGGCGGGAGGATCGCCTGAGGCCAGGAGACAAGCCTGGGCAACATAGTGAGACCCCATCTCTACAAAAAATAAAAAAATTAGCTGGGCATGGTGGCATGTGCCTACAGTCCAGGAGGGTCACTGGGACCCAGAAGTTGGAGGTTGCCATGAGCTGTGATCGCAACGCTGCACTTTAGCCTGGGCGATAGATTGAGACCCTTCTCAAAAAAATTTTTTTTTTTAAATACAAAAATATGCTATAGCCAAGCTTCAGCCGTTGCTTTTAGAAGGCATATGGGATCCCAGTTTGCCACAGTCTTCACCTTTCCCTGCTGCCTTTCCATTGGCTTCTGTGGACCCACTGACCCCTGTAGATTAGCGGAAGTTTTAGGTGTGTACCTGGAGGTCATGAAGCTCTGGATTCAAATCCTCCCCCTCCCTTACAGGTTATGTCAGCTTGAGTGTGTGACCTTCTCTGAATCTCTATAAAAATGGATAGTAATGCGCTTCCCTTACGAGGTTGTCATGAGATCGTGCCAAGGCAGCACTTGGCGTGGCATCTGGTGCCTGCTGTCGGCGTATGCCATCGTTGTCTTTGCTGATGGTTTCCCCCAGCGAGCAGGCGAGGTGCACAGAGGCAGGGTCAGCCAGGTTCACACAGGATGCTGACGCAGATCAGGAAGTGACCCTAGGAGGGGAGGCGTGGGCTGGCTGGGGGGGCTCCCACCAGCATGGTGGCTCCTGATCTGGCCCTGGGAAGGAAGAGAGGGAAGCCCGGTGGGGCTCCAGAGCGGAGGGTCTGCCGGCCGCACTGACCCGGGACTGCCCGCAGGGAACGTGGTGAACGGCATGATCGCCCGGCAGATGGTGGACATGCTCGTGGAATCCTCATCCAACGTGGAGATGATCCTCAAGTTCTTCGACATGTTCCTGAAACTCAAGGACATCGTGGGCTCTGAGGCCTTCCAGGACTACGTCACTGATCCCCGCGGCCTCATCTCCAAGAAGGACTTCCAGAAGGTGCGTGCTGGACAGGGGTGGGGCCCAGGATGCAGGTGGGGCTGCCACGTGCCAGCCTTGCCCTTCCTGGCTGCCGGCCTTGGGCAAGAGACTCCTCTCTGAGCCTCTCTCTCCTTATCTGTAAAATGGGGATAAAACAGCCCTTGGGATTGTTTGGAGGATGAAATGCATTCACGCCAACGAGAACCATTATTGCCATCCTATTTATTAAGACTCATAACGTTATCATCATTATGAATAGGGGTCAGTTTTTCCATTTTAAACATTCACTAGCTTTCTTCTCTGTGCTGGGTCTGTCCTGGACCCAGCAATGACCAAGACAGACACAGACCCCGCTTTCACGGGGTGATAGTCTAATGGGGGAGGCAGGCAGTCACTCACTGGGCCAGGACGGGTATGAATCGTGAGGGTGTTAGGAGGAAAGTGCTAGAACCAGCTTTACCCAGCCCACCTCTCCCATCCCTTATGTAGCCCTGACCAAGTCACTGTCTTCTCTGAGTGCCAGGTTCCTCCCCTGTAAAACGGGGATGGGATGATAACATTAACTATTGCACAGACTGTTGTGAAATACGTAGTGTGAGGACAGTACCTGGAAGATAGTGAGCGCTCAAGAGATGTCAGCTACTATTATTACTGCCAGATCTTCTCCATCACCATTTGGTTAACTTCTTATTTTGAAATAACTCCAGCTCATGGGGAAGTTGCAAGAATAGCACATACAACGTCTGAACACCCTTCACCCGAGTTGCCGAAATGTTAACTTTGCCTGTTGGCGCTGTCATGATTTTCCTTTATATCTGAATACTTCAGGGTGTGTTTCCCGAGAACAGGTTCGTTCTCTTCCATGACCACAGAAAAATTACGCAAATCAAGAAATTAACAGTCATGCGATGCTACTTTCTAATCCTCGTTCGATTTTCGCTTGTTGAAGACATGTTTTTCTTTGTCAAGGATCCAACTCGGGACCAGGGGTTACATTTGGGTGTTTTGCAGGCTGTCCCTCGGCGTGGGTTTGTCTGAGTTTTCCTTATGATTAGATTTGGGTCACGCGGCTTTGGCAGGAGTATCAGAGAAGCGACGTGTCTTTGTTGCACCATATCGGGAAGCACACGGTGTCGTTTCTTCCCATGTTGAAGTTAACGTGGGTGACTCAGTTACGGTCGTGTTTACCGGGGTCTCCACTGGGAAGGTCCCGTTATTCCCTTTGGAACCGGTAAGTGTCTCGCAAGGACATACTGTGAGACCGTGTAAATGTCTGCTCACTCTCCAGGGTCGGCGTCCACCAGTGATTCTTACCCAAAACCATTGTCACTAAGGTAGTTGACAAAGGGTGGCTTCTAATACCCTTCCCTTCTCTAGGCACGATTTGACTGTCAGGAGTTCTTCCTTCTTCCCCATTTATTGACTCCTTCATCCATTTATTTATATCATGTGGACTTGCGGTTTCTTATTCTATGGGTTGCTATTGTCACTGGCCATCAGCATTTGAGCAAGCTCAGGGTCCCCTGAGTGACAAGTGGGGCGCCCCGTACCTCCCAGCCCTCCTCTGGGAGCCGCCCACATCTCCCCCTGCTTCTCAGCCACGCCTCTCAAGAGCCATCTGCCCTTGATCACTCCTCTGTCACCTCCCACGCCTTCCCTGATTCAGGGCTTGCTGGCTTCTGTCCCCGTTACTCCCCTGAAACTACTCCGACCAAGATAATCAGTGACCTCTTTGCCCCTGACTCTTTCCTGTGACTTGTCATCTTGGCGGCATTTGCCACGGCCGGCCGTTTCCTTCCCTTGCCCCGCCCTGAGGGCCAATGCCTGCTGCCTCCCTGACCTCCTAGCCCCCCCAAATGTCACTGCGTCTGAGCCCTCCATCTGCTTGAAGAAGACAGATTCTCAGTTTGTGCCAGGTCCTGTGTATAAATAAATGAGCTCATTTACTCCTTACAGCAGCCTTATGATAGGGAAACTGAGGCACAGGAAGGTGAAACTGAGCCTGCTCAAGGTCACCCAACTAATAAGTGACAAACTGGGATTAGAACTCAGGCAGTCGGGCCCCAGAGCACACCAGAGTCATCTGTCGATCTAGTCTAATAAACAGCGAGCACTTCCTGAGTGCCAGGCCCTGCATGGAAGTCCCCGCCCTACTCTTGAGACTGGCAGTGTAGGGAGCCTCTCGGGAGGGCAGGAGGCAGCAGAAAGCGCTACGCGGGAGCTAAGTTCGCATAACTCACAGTTTAAAACGAGCAAGGATCCCTCCTGCCTGTTCCGGGCTTCACAGATCACAAGGTTTGATGTGACGTACATGACATTTTACAGCTCAACATCTGGTTTCACAAAGTTACCATCTATAACTTGAAAAAAATGCATTTATTTTTTGAATACACAACCCATTCATGTGATTTTAAAAACCAAAATATAACAAGGTAGGAAGTGAAAAATCTCATTCCCATCCCTTCCTATTCTACCCTTCCCCCACCCCCACCACTGGACACCCTTTGATGAGTTTCTTTTGTATCCTTCCAACATCCTTTTTTTTTTTTTTTGAGACAGAGTCTCACTCTTTTCCCCGGGCTACAGTGAGTGCCATGGCGTCAGCCTAGCTCACAGCAACCTCACACTCCTGGGCTCAAGCGATCCTTTTGCCTCAGCCTCCCAAGTAGCTGGGACTACAGGCATGCGCCACCATGCCCGGCTAATTTTTTCTATGTATTTTTAGTTGTCCGATTAATTTCTTTCTATTTTTAGTAGAGACGGGGTCTTGCTCTTGCTTAGGCTGGTTTCGAACTCCTGAGCTCAAACAATCTGCCCGTCTCGGCCTCCGAGAGTGCTAGGATTACAGGCGTGAGCCACCGCGCCCAGCCCCTTCCAACATCTTTTAATGCAAATATGAACAGATATTCTCACTTTCTTCCCTTCATACATAACAGGCAGGGCACTATGTCACTGGTCTCTGTCATTTAACAACATATTCCGGAGACACAGTGAACTTCCTCGTTCTTCTTCACAGGTGCCCAATATTCCACTTAGTGTGTATATTATGGTTTGTTTGTCTATTCCCTGTTGGGGGACACTCGCTTTGTTCCCAGTGTTTTACTGTTATAACCCATGCTGCAGTCAGGGCTGCCATGGATAGTTGTGCAAGTTCTACACTGCACAAGGGTGCCATTTATAGCATAGACATCTTGTATTTGTGTATCTATTACTGCAGAGTTTTAGCAGATGAAAGAAAGTGTGCTGAAGAAGGCTGTATATGGGCCACTAGCAATGCTGGTGGTTATAAAAATTTTGCCTTTATACGTACAACATTCTGTACGTGTGGTTTCTATCAGAGGATGAACGTCTAGAAGTGGGATTGCTGGGTCAAAGGCCAGATGCATTTGTCATGTGGGCAGACATTGCCCTCCATTTTTCCCTTTCATTAATATCATGTGAGTGTGCCTGTTTTGCCACAGCCAGGCCACCAGACCACATTGTCAGATCTTTGGATTTTTGCCAATCTGATAGATGAAAAATGATATTGCAGGGCAGGGTTTT